TTTTTTTTTTTTTTTTTTTTTTTTTTTTTTGTATCAGGATTGAATTTGGGATCTTGTGCTTGTGAAGCAGGCGGTAGAACCTCCGAGCTAAATCCCCAGCTGCTTTCAGGATTTTAATCAGCCCTCTGCTAGGGCAGCCACATTGGCTCCTGGGACAACAGAGGAGACATTAGCATATTGGGAAGTGATTTTACCATTCTGAGTTCCTGGTCCTTGGGTCCTGATTCTCAGCCAAGGAACTAGGTCCTAAAACTCACCATATGTCTTTCTTGTGCAACCTCTCCTCCTGCAGGCCTTACCTTGTCCTTGGAGAGACTTCTCAGCACAGGCCCAGCCCCTGAACCCACACATATTCCAGAAACTGAGAAGAAAATGGAAGCCTGCAGCCAACATGGGTGCTGCCTTTGAAGAGTCCAGCAAGAGGTCCAGGCATCTGGAGAGCAGGTGACCAGCTGAAGAAATGAAGGTGAAGAGCGTGTTCCATTCCCAGGTTGCCTCCACAGCTGCTCAAAGCAAGGGAACACCCTCTCCTCCCTGATGTAGGCAGAAGGTTCACTCTGGGGAAACTGAGCCAGAAAGGGCCTGAATTTAGGGTGAGACAGAGCAAGACCTAGGAGGGAGGGATTCAGAGAAGGCTTACACATCCCACAGTGAAGCCTCCCTTCTCTTTTTCTTACCTATGCAGGGTCCCACCCATGTTAGGCAAAGTGCTGTACCACTGAATTATACCCCTAGTCTTTTAAACTTTATTTTGAGGGCTGGGGATTTAGCTCAGTGGTTCTGCCGTGTACCTCACAAGTGCAGGGTCCCGAGTTCGATCCCTGGTACAAAAAAAAAAAAAAAAATTTTTTTTTTTAAATTTTGAGAAAGTCTTGCTAAGTTGCTGAGTTATCTGGTCTGGTGACCCTCCAATTCTCCTTCCTCAGCCTCCTGAGTGGTGGGGATTACAGGTGTGCTCCATTATGCCTGACATTTTTTTCTTGACTTTAACAGTAATAACACTTGCTTTTTAAAATAAAGATAATTTGGAAATGTCAAGTAGGAGATAAAGGTTCCCCAGTAATCTGTATGTTCCCAAAGGCAGCTATTAATCTGTTCATAAGAAATTTTCTGTATAAGTATAATAGGTCCTGGGTCACTTCCTGTAACAAAGGCTACAACGACAGGGCTTTAAACAACACGATTGCTTACCTCTCGGGTAATAGTCTAGAAGCAGTGCAGAGCACATAGAGTGTGTGTGGGGGTCACAGGTTCCTTTGCTACCATGTTCTGCCATTGTTCTCTACTCAGTTTCTACCCAGCCGGCTAGGATGGCTGCTCCATTGTTGTGACCACAGCCACATGCCCGTTAGCAAGCAGGAGAGAAGAGGAAAGGGAAAGCCACTTCTTTTGTGTGTGTGTGTATGCATGTGTGTGCGCATGAATGTGGTTTAAGGACACGATCCCAAAGCTGCCTATACTCAGCTCACATCCTGTTGGGCAGAACATAGTGCTCTGATCACACCTATTTGCAAGAGAGAATGGGAAATGTCACCTTAGGTGCTGATTTTGTTTTTGTTTTTTTTGGTTACCGGGGTTTGAACTCGAGTCCTTGTGCTTGGGAGGCAGGTGGCGGAACCACTGAGCCAAATCCCCAGCCCACACCTTAGGGAATGTAGTCACGAGACACATAGCCATGTACACATGACATCTGCCCAACATAGGGCTCCAGGTTTCTCTGGTCTTTTCCTCTTTCTTTCTTTTCTCCTTCTTCATCTTCTCCATCTTCTCCTTCTTTTCCTTCTTCTTCTCCTCCTTTTCCCCCTCCTCCTCCTTCTTCTTTTCATTTGTTTTTTGTTTTCTGAGACAGGGTCTCGCTATGTAGTTCAGGCTGGCCTTGAACTCACTGTGTAGCCCAGGCTGGCTTTGAACTTGAGGCCTACCAAGTGCTGGAATTACAGATGTGTGTGCCACCACACCTGGTTCTTTCTTTTCTTGGTACTGGGAAATCAAACCCAGGAGAGGGATCTACCATTAAGCTATATCCCCACTATAGAGACAGAATCTCACTAAATTGGCAAGGCTGGCCTCAAACTTGCCATTCTCCTGTCTCAGCCTCCCGAGTAGCTGAGATTACAAGCATATACTACCAGGGTTGGGGATTTAGCTCAGTAATTCCGCTGCCTCCCTTGCAAGCGAAAAGACCCAAGTTCGATCCCTAGTACCAAACAAACAAACAAAAAAACACAAGCAAACACTACCATACCCATCTTGGGATTTCTTTTATAAAGGAAGGAGGGGAGAATGATTATCTGGAGACAACCAGCAATCTCTGGTATAGAATAACTAGAGTCAAGGATCATTAGAGATTTGAGGAAAGCCTTCGGAGGAGATAAAATGAATAAACACCCATGAGCTAGGGATTTAGCTCAGTGGCACTGTGCCTGCCTTGCAAGTGCAAGGTCCTGAGTTTGTTCCCCAGGAGAGGAAAAAAACAAAACAAAACAAAACAAAACAACAAAAAAAAAGAAAGAATACTCATTCATGAAATGAGTATTGGATGCCATTAAACAAGAAACATCACGGGCCAGGGATTTAGCTCAGTGGTTCTGCCACCTGAGTTCAATCCCTGCTGCCACACACACAAAGAAAAAGAAATATCAGAGAAAATGGGCATAGTGGTGCATGCTTGTAACCCTAGTATTCAGGAGGCCTAGGCAGAAGGCTTGTAGAAATTTCAAGTTTGAGACCCTGTCTAAAAAAAAAAAAAAAAATCAGAAGCAGGAAAGAGTTCTTGGAAATTAAAAATATAACAGAAATTATTCAATAGAAGCATTGGAAGATAAGCTTGGGAAAATATATCAGGAAATAGAACAATGAAAGATAAGTAGAAGAATAAGAAGATGTCGGGCGTGGTGGCACCTGTAATCCCAGCACTCAGTGGGGCTGAGGCAGGAGAATCACTGTGAGTTCGAGACCAGCTTGGGCTACATAATGAGCTCCAGGTCAGTCTCAACTATGAGACCCTGTCTCAAAAAGTGAAAACAAACAAACAAACAAAAAAAAAAAAAAGAAAGAAAAAAGAGCAATCTAAGAAACCCATTAGCTGACCAAGAGAAGTTCCAGAAAGAAAATGAAAAGAAGAAAATTATCAAAAAGATAAGACAATCTCCCCAAACCAAAGGATACAAATTTCCAGTCTGCACATAATAGTGCAATGAGCAACAACTGAAGACACAGATCATAAAAGCTCGGGGCACTAGGCCTTCAGAGAACAAGAAGAAATACAAAATAAACAATTCTCATAGAACTAGGTCACCTGCAAAGAAAAAGGAAACAGTGCAAATGGCCTTCCCAGCGTAGTGCTGGAACTGAGAAAACAGTGCAGCAAGGCGTTCCGGATCTGACTGGAAAGACCTGCAGCGAAGAGGGCTGTTCCCAGCCAGACTAAAGTCAGCCCAGTGGTAAAACCACACATCTCCTACACACCGAGGCTAAAGCGTCTTTTCTCCCAGGCAGGCTTTTGCTCTCCTGGCCAGGAACGACTGGAGAATATAGCAGGAACGGGGATGGAAAGGAAGCAAGAAGACAGTCTGAAGCTGGGCGGTGGCACACACCTGGGATCCCGGCATTCTGGGAGGCCGAGGTGGGAGAGTGGTAAGTTTGAGTTCAGGCTCGACAACTGGATGACTCTGTGAGAACTTGTCTCAAAATGAACAGTTAAAAAAAGGGCTGGGGATTTAGCTCAGCAAGAAGGCCCTAGACCCAATTCCCAGAGCTGGAACAAACAGACAACCTGAGATGCAGGCAGCCAAGGTCAGGAAGAAGCAGGGTGGTGGTGGACAGATAGTGAAGGACAGGAGCATCTTGCACGCAGGCGATCAGTTTAGAGCCAGGCGAGGAAATGGAAACAACTACCCGGAGAAACAGTTGCTTGCAGATTCAGTAATGTGATCCAGTTCTTCTAGAGTTCAGGAAATGCAGATTAATAATGATTTTTTTTGGTACCGGGGATAGTACTCAGGTCCTTGTGCTTGCAAGGCAGGCACCGGAACCACTGAGCTAAATCCCCAGCCCCAGATTAATAATGATTTGAGTAAAATCTAAGCAAATCAACAATGAAAGTAATTTTAATATCCATCCCTCCAAAGGATGTATAGCAAAAGAGAACTATTGTACCCTATGTAAACATTTCCTACTGATTTATCCAAAATGATCGTAATGGCATTGAAAGCATGAAGGCCAAGAAAATTATATTTTTGTTGGGGCCTAAAATACTCAAATCATCCCTTTCCATGACAGGAAAATAAAGTATCTCTAAAATTGAAAACTAATGCAAGACAGCAGGGTGGATTTATCATTGACCATGGGAATTATCTCTTTTTAATATTATAAGCCTGCACTATTGTTTCAAACAACTCACATACATGTGTTTACTTGGCTAAAAATTAAATTTAGACATGGAGCATAGTGGCGCACACCAGTAATCACAGCACTCGGGAGGTCGAGGCAGGAGACTCACACATTTGAGGCCTCTGGGCTGCATAGGAAATGCAAGGCCATCCTGAACTGCATAGCATGACCCTATCTCAAAAAAGTAAACACAAAAGCAAAGCAAAATAAATTTAGCACTGCGGGTGCTGCTCTATGGTAAAGCACTTGCCTACCCTGTTGAAGGTCATGGATTTTGTTTCAGGGCTGAAAAAAAAGAAACTTGTAATGATTAAAGTAAGCACAGTAAGAACAGAAATAGAATGAAAATATTCTAAGCAGACAGGGAAAGTATGGGCACAAAACACAGACAGGACAAGGGCCTCGCTTGCCGGGCTCCGGGTATAGCAGATCACCAACACCAGGGTCCTCTACCCTCCCCACACTGAGAAGCTTTGGGACTCAAACTGCCTCTCATGGAGGTCCTTGCAGCTGGGACACTGGACATGATTTTGGTTTTTCCCATCAGTCTCTGTCTTAGGAGAGTAGTGGGTGAAGTAAAACAGCGTCTGTGTGTGTGTTTCTGCTACAGCCACTTCTGCACACATGTCCGTGGCTTCTCACTGTGACACACGGTAGTCTCCTCTTATCAGTGACCTTATCAAGACCACCATGGATGGGCTGGGGATTTAGCTCAGCGGTTCAGTGGCCTGCTTTGCAAGCACAAGGACCTGAGTTCAATCTCCGGGACCAAAACAAACAAAAAAGACCGCCATGGATACCTGAAACTGTGGATGGTAGTGAACCCTATTTTTAAATTTCTTCCCATTCATTCTTATCACCGGTGTAACAATCTTACCCTATGTATATATTTTTGTTGTATTTTTTGAGACAGGATCTTGCTATTCAGGCTGGACTTGAACTCATTATGTAGTCCAGGCTGCCCTCAAAGTCTCAGTGATCCTCCTGCCTCAGCCTCCTCCTGGGTGCTGGGATTACAGGTGTGTGCCACAGTGTTCAGCAGCATGTAATTTACAAAAATTCCTTATCATGTTGAAAAATTTTCCCTCTCTCTCTCTCTCTCTCTCTCTCTGTACTGGGAATTTAATCCAGGGCCGTTGCACTGAGCCACATTCCAGCCCCCCCTCCCACTTTTTTTGAGGCAGGGTCTCACAAAATCCCTAATTTGCCCGGGCTGGGCTTGGAATCCTCCTGCCTCAGCCTCATAGACTGCTGGGATTAGATGTACATACCACCACTCTCAACTCGCCTTTTCTCTTAAAAAAAAAAAAAAAAGAACTTTGCAGCTTCTCTTTGGCATACAGTATTAAATTGTCAGCATCACAACTCTTGCAGGTTGGGGATTTTTATTTGGTAAAGTAAAGGTTGCCTGAACACAAACTTCTTGAGACTGTGACATTTGACCTGATACCTGGGACAGCTATTAGGTAACTAGCAAGAAGGTGGTGTATATAGTGTGGATACTCTGAAAGCAAAGATTCACAGCCTGAGCAGCACAGAATGGAGTGGCACAAAATTTCATTGTGCTGTTCAGAATGGTGAGCAATTTAAAACCTACGATTATTTATTTCTGAATGCCCCACTTCATACTTTCAGACTGCATTTGATGGAGGGTAAGTGAAACCTTAGAAAGTGGAACTGTGGATAAAGGAGGACTGCCCCACCTATGTGGTTCAGAAGTTTGCATAGCTTTCCAGTTCAGGAGGCAGCTTCCTGATTTTAGAAGAGGTAGTGGCTCCTTTGCTGGCTGAGTCTTGCAGCCAGGCTGTAAATTCACCCTGAAGATTCAACTATCCAAACAAGTCCTTAAGACGCTTTAGATCCTGTAGTACTTTTGTACTGAAACTATTTAGAGTCTGTTGTCTGAAATTGAACTCAGACAATGTAACAGGAAAGCAGAACGTAAAATGAAGTGAAAAAACATAGTAAACATGACAAAGTACAATAGAGACATAAACCCAATTTTAATAAAACAAGAAAAACTAGACTGGATATAAACTAAAATATACTCTCAGATTAAATTTTATGAATAAGTCAGCTACATGCTATATATGAGAACCATAAAAATAACAATGCTACCCAATAATTAAAACAAGTGAATTGACGTAACACTAAATGCAAAATTGCAAAAACATTGTTCAGCATGATGTCTTTTTCATTTTTTCATTTTTTTGTGGTGGTACTGGGCATTGAACCTGGGGCCTTTGCACTGAGCTACATCTTTAGCCCCTTTTTATTTTTGTATTTCACGAAAGGGTCTCACTAGGTTTCTCAGTTGCCTGGGCCGAGCATGGATTTTTGATCTTCCTGCTTCAGCCTCCCAGACTGCTGGGCACGTGCCATCATGCCTGGCCCATTTTTATAAATTTTTTCGTACTCAGGACCTTATGCTTGTGAGGCAGGTACAGTGCCACTGAACTAAAACCCTGGCCCTATAAAATTTAAAAACACAAAATCGGGTATTCTATATGCAATTTCTGGATTCACAGACCAATGTTATAAGTGTAAACACATGAGCAGTAATGTTATGCATCAGCGACCTTCTCTAAGAAAGAAGAAAGAATGTGTCTGGGCCTTTAGTTATGTCTAATTTTGTGTCTATAAATCCAAGAGTATACAGCAAAATGCCTTTTAAGATGTATTTATTTGCAGGACCAGAATCACACCCAAGGCCTCGTGCCTTAGATAAGAGCTCCATCCCAGCCCGATAGACGTTTAGACATCGGTTTAATCTCCACAGTGAGGAGCCAGCGTTAGGAATTTTTTTGGGGGGTACACTTCTGCATGTCTCTAGCACTTCTTAATTTACAAAACTCAGACACAGACACCCAGGCTCTCGTGTGCACGTCAACACTGACGCTGATAGGCTGGTATGAAAAGGGGGGATCGGCGGCTGAGGCCTAGGGTGCAGAGGTCCCGGGGTCACGAGGCTAGAGGGCATCTCTGACTAGGATGGACCTGCGGCCGCGAAAGGCCACAGGCTGCTCCTGGACTCCAGTGAGGGATCCGGTGGGATCGCCCGGTTTTTACCCCCAAGGAAACCGTGTCAGGGAGGAACAGAAGCTGGTAAAAGTCTTCAAAGAGTCCCAAGAACCCAGAGGTCAATCCCAGTTGGGCTCTCAGTGCGGGGGCGCCCCAGCCGCTTCCTAATCGGTGTTGTCCTGCGGGTGGGAGCAGCTCTCGGGCTCCGCCACTCGCCCCAGGACCTGCGCGGCGGGGGCGGGGCCTAGCGTGAGGC